GCAGTTCGAAAACGGGGACTTATGTTTTGATGTTTTGACCTCCGTGCGTCCGTGTGTCCGTGCGTCCATGCTTCCTTGAATGCGTGTGCGCGTGCGTGCGTGCATCCGGACCTGTATCTCAAAAATGCCTGGACCAATCGTTATCAAACTTCTTGGCTTCTCGGCTTTTTACATACGATTTTGTTCAAACCTTATATATACGTATATACGTTGGACATTATATGACCTTGATGCACATCATTTTGTTTTTCAGATACATGTAAGATTCAAAATGGCCGACTGGCAGCCATTTTGTTTTAATGAATGTGGTTCTAGTGCCATATCTCTGACTTGCTTTGATTGATTATGTTCAAATTTTAAATATTCTTTATAAATCTTGTCATAGATATGCAGTTTTGACGATTCTATTAAAATGGCCATTTTTGTGCTAAAAATCATCAAATATCAAGCATTTCTGGCATTTATGGATGAGTTTTGTTCAAACTTGGTACATACATTAGACATTACGGGTTCCTGATTACGTCATTTTATTTTTCAGATCGGATTTAAAATGGCCAACTGGTGGCCATTATGTTTTAATGAATGCAGTTCTAGTGCCATATCTCTGACATGCTTTGACTGATTACCAAACGCTTCAGCGTGGTATTAAGATTTTGTTTTCAGGCTTGGGTGGTACCAAGGTGGAAAATGGTTGCACATATGGGTGGTAATTCCTGGAATTGCAATAGAGAGGGTTCAGGCCGAAATACATATATATAGTGTTTCCATGTTTCGTCTGATATTTCTGGGGTATTCTGCTGCTGTAAATAATGCAAGATTTGTTCCGAAATTCAGTGTGTTGTGTGCACTCCAGGGTTATTCGTTTTTTGCTCAAAACACCCCTATTTTTTAATGGCAGAGTCGAATAGTTTCACTCCCACTGGGAAATCTGCATTGTTACTTGAATGAGAGCTAACTAAACACATTTTCCAGACCGGCGAAAGTGTATGCAACAGACAATTTTAACAGCCTGTCACGTGATTTTATCTGAATGTCAACATCAAAAGAGGCTAATCCATTTACGCAGGTATAACTGGAAATAGAATATGTGAGGGATTGTATCAACAGAGATGTGTATAATGAAAAGTAACATCTATCCTTCTTTTGCATCGCTGAGCATTTCTGTTTTAGTATACTGGTTTGAAAATGTTGAATTTGCATGATTTGCAATGTGTTTTTTTACTGAAACTCCCCTATTGATCGAATCCCGGGTTTGAAAGAGAACGGCACACCACGTGATTCGTTTGAATACAATGGTGAAGGCACGCAAGCATGACTTACGTTGTCAGCAGTAGTCGCTGAGCTTCACGCTACAACTTCATTTGTGATGTTGCTTGTTAGCCGTGGATTGAATTAATCTTGATTACCGGTTAAAATGTTGCTTATTTGGCGTTGGTGATCTTTATTTGGAACTGAGTAACGTCGCCAGCTGAAACCTCCTGGGATTTTGTAGTTGATGGTTGCGCCTCCATGGATCAGTAGGGGGGGTTACCCTGTTTTTGATTTTGCGAATGGGGGGGGGGGGAACCCTGTTTTCCACAATTCACACACGCGCTTATGCATACAGTTTTTTAAATGTATTTCAGAACAATAGATTAAAAAGTTAATCGTACAAATGTGTTCTTAATAATAACTATTACCCATATTGCCTATAAATTTGTTGATGCAAAAAATGTTATAGGCTAAATATTTTGGGGTTGAAGTTGACAAATAACTAACAGATTATGCAATGCGGCAGAGCCCCATGCAATTATACAGTTAAGTTTTAAACACATCCCAAGTCCATGTGATATCAGATTATTTTATTTAAAGTCCGAAGTCACCATTGTATAAGACATTTACTGGATTTATCCAATTGTAGCTGGAGACGGAAAAACACAGCAATTAGTACAAAGAGCAGTTAAATGGATTCATGTATACAAATAAATAGTTTTTTTTTGTTTTTTTTAACTTTTAAATATGCATATTTTGCTCTGTAAAATACCAAAATCCAACACAAATTTATACAAAAATCAAGTTTCCTTTGTTTTCATAAGCACAGACTGTGCTTCAGGTGTAAAGCATTCCAGGTCTATAAGAGATGAAAGATATATTAAATTCAAATTAGTTTTCAAACCGCCTAGATTCAAATCCTCTTTTCCTATCTTATAAGCGCGTTTATCAAGTGAGTACTACACAGCTTTGTTTTTATTTACTATCTTTAGCAGCATAGATTTCCCTACTTCCTGCAGCCTTTTCTGTAGTCGTTTTTTGGTTTTATGCTTCCCCTCCCCTCCTAAGGTGACTGGTCTAGCTATTAAATACAAACACTAAAAATTACGGCAAACCACGATATTTTCAATGCACATCATACATTTTGTAATCATGTCAGAGCCAAAACTGTTAATGTTTCTTTGTTTTTCGGG